AAATGAGGTGGGGTAAGAAAGAAAGAAATGCCTGAAAGGATGAGATATAAACAAAGACCTAAAAGAGGTAAGGAACCTGTGGATTTTTTTTTTTTTTTTTTTTAGACAGAGTCTCCCTCTGTCATCCAGGGTGGAGTGCAGTGGCCAGATCTTGGCTCCCTGCAACCTCCACCTCCCTGGCTCAAGTGATTCTCCTGTCTAACCCTCCTGAGTAGCTGGAAGTGCCCTCCACCATGCCCAGCTAATTGTATTTTTAGTAGAGATGGGGTTTCACCATGTTGGCCAGGCTGGTCTCAAACTCCTGACCTTGTGATCCACCCACCTCAACCTCCCAAGGTGCTGGGAGTACAGGCCTGAGCCACTGCGCCTGGCCAACCTGTGGATATTTGGGGGAAGAGTTCCAGGTGGAGAGAATTGGAAACACAAAGAGCCTGAGGCACCAGCATGCTTGCTGTGTCCAGAAACAGCTAGACCAGTGTGGCCGGAGCTCAGGTCAGGAAGGTGACTGGGCATATCAGGCAGGACTGTGTGGGCCACGTGAGAACTTTCACTTTTCCTCTGAGTGAGGTAAGAACCATTGAGGGCTCTGGGCAGAGGAAGATCGTGATCTAAATCGAGTTCTAACAGGCTCCCACAGGGTCAGATGTTAGCATTTATTAAACATTTACTGAGTGCCAAACACTATTCTGTTCAATACGGTTTGATCTCATTTCATTCTCACATGAACCCTATAGGGAATATCATTCCATTTCACAGACGAGAAACTGAGGCTCAGAGAGTTTAAGACACTGACCCATGGCCACACAGCAATAATCTTCAGCGCCTGGGTGTCAAGGTAAAGTAAGCCAGCCTCTCCCTCCCCCAAGCATTTCAGACAGGGATCGGTGGCTGCAGAGCGCACCCGTCTTCGGGAACGGCGTCTGTGTCCCTGTCTGTCTGTTTCTATTTCCACACGTCCCTGTCTGTCTCCACGCGCCTCTGCCTGTGCGTCCCCCATCTGTGCCCAAGCCGCCGTCTCTCTGCGCCCGGCCCCCGCACATCGGAGCTATTTCGGGTTTAAGGCTTAAAAGCCCAACAGCTCGGAGGAGACGCTTCCTCCGGCCCCCGGCTCGGACCACGCGCCGCACGCGGCCAGCTCTGGGAGCTCCCAGTTTTTTCTGCGGGATCCCCGAGCCGGGGAAGCCCCCGCGGGAGGAAGGGTGGGGGCTGGGGCGACCCGGGCCCGGAGGCTCTCGGCCCCCCAGTGGCCAACCCGAGCATTGACGCCGTCAGGAGTTCAGCCGTGCGTCAGCTGTCGCCCTGGCAACGGGAGGGCGACGTCACCCATTGGTGGTGCGTCAGCCACCAGCTGACGTCATGCCCCAGGAGAGGCAATAGGCAAGGGGCTGGGGCGGGTTCTAAGCCCGGCCAGCAGGGGGAGCCCTGGGGCATTGATGGCAGATCCGTTTGGCTTGGTCCTGCAGGAGGTCCTGGCCCTACCGACATGGCCCCCGCATCCCCAACGGCGCGCTAGGTTGACGAGATGAAGAGGAGTCGTAGTGCCCAGTCCGTGGCCGGGTCCGGGGACGAGGTGCGAGGGGAGGGGCTTGGGCTGGGGGCGGGGCTTCGCTCCCCTGGGAGACTATCGCCCTCTAGTGACTATGGCTATTCCCTGAACGTGGCTTCACTACTTCCAAGCGGCAAGGAATTTGGTCCCCTTGTGCCTCAGTTTACCCCCTTGATGCTATTTTTCTCCTGCTGCCCAGATTAAGAGGCTCTCAGCCGGCTCAGAGAAAAATGAGGAGAGGATTTTGGCTAGGAGATGGAAGGGGGCCATTGACATTAAGACCAAGAGGGGGCCTCTTAGACTTGGAGGGTGGGAAGAGACCCTAAAAAGGTGATGTATTTGAGAGGTCTAACACGTGAGACAGAATGTAAATATGTGACAGACCCAAAGGCTGGGGCATCGAGGCGGGACCCCACCAAAATTATGGCTAAGAAGGGGCAGCCATAAGGGATGGTTAGGACACCCTCTGTGGGAGGGGTCAGCGAGGGGTTCACACAAGAAGGGCGCCTATACCCCCATTAGCTACTCCCTTAGATAGGTAGGGGTGTTCTTGGGAAGAGGGGCTCACAGCTTCCGAGCCAGGCCACGCCCCCATTCCACTTTGTCCCTCCCCAGAGACCGAGGGACACCCCCGAACCCGGCCGTGCCGGTATGCTGGGGGCCGACCTGCGTCGCCCTCGCCGCCGCCTCTCGTCCGGTCCTGGCCTGGGCTGGGCCCAGCCTGAGCCCTCGGACCCTGGGGTCCCTCTGCCGCCACGGCCCACCACGCTGCCGCTGCTGATCCCACCGCGGATTTCCATCACCAGGGCGGAGAACGACAGGTAGGTAGGAGAGGAGCAGAGTGGGAGGTGGGCTGGGGAGTCACCGTACCAACTGGGCTAGGTCCAGCCACCAGCGCTTCCCGATCTCCATGCTCCTGCGGTTTGCAAAACTAGCTGAAACTTGTCCTGTGGCGGGCTGTGACACCCCTCCCCCAAGGCACCCTTTGCAGGCTCTAGGAACCCCTTCTTTCATTGTCCAGCTGCCTGAGTCAGCAAGGGGCAGGACTGAGGAAAGAGGTGTCCTGTCTCCAACCCCCAAGATGCCCCCATGTTCACAGAGCTGGGGCAGGTTGATCAGGCGGCTGTGCACCCGCCTTAGTGTCCCCTGCTGGGAGGATCAGGTTTCTTCCCCGCCTTGAAGGGGATAGTGGGGTCTTGGAAGGGGTCTGAACTAGCATTTTTCTTTCTCCTAGGGAGATGTGAGAAATATCTGTGAGCTCTGGGTTCACACAACATCTCTTGCTGATCCTCATCTGGGGACCTACCGGGTACCCAGCCAGTTTCCCAGGGTAATCAACCCCCCTCTTGGCTCAAGAATGAGCAGTAAAGTCAGACAGCTGAGCTGGTCCTGGCTTTTGGCCGGCCCCTGCACCCTGCCCCCATGCCCTCCTCTGGTCTCTGCTCTCTGCAGTTCCAATCCACCCCCACCCCCATCTACTCAATTGGTGGGTTCTAGGGTCTCTGTTTCCGTCATGGTCCAATGGTTCATTTCCAGATAGGGAGAGCAAGTGACTGTCACTCGCCTCTTGCACTGCTTAATTATACCTCCCCTCGCCCATCCCAGGAGCCTCAGGTCCAGTCGGTTTATCCCCCGCTCACCCCACTGCTCCTCGTTTCCTCTTTCTTCTACAACCCCAGCTGTGGCCTGACACCCTCACCCACCTCACATTACTCACCCACACCCCCTTCCAGATCTCTAACCAACGTTACAGCACCCCTCCCCCCCAGAATTTGGCCCAGCCCAGGACTTTCAAATATGATCTGGGGAGAACTCGCAGCCCCTGCAAATTCCCTAGAAGACGTTTTGAGTGTGTACTGAGGGGGGTGTTCCTGAGGGAAGTGGGGGACACAGTGCTGGCGCCTGGGATACCCCGCGGCTGCCGATGAGGGGACCGGTTTTTGCTCGGCGTTCGCCCACGCCGGGAGCCCCCTCTGGCGGGGAGGAAAGTGGCTGTGGGGGTTGAAAAGACGGGCAGTCTTTTTTTTTTTTTTTTTTTAAATAAGGCGAAGAGCGAGGTGGCAGGGCGGTGGCAGACAGCATCGCCTGCCCTGGGGAGCCCGTGAGAGGGGGCGCACTGGGGCGGGGGCCTGGTCCCTGGGTCGCGCAGCAGAGCAGTTTCGCGTTTAAGCCCTTATGGGCGTGGTAGGGGCGGGACACGGGGGTGCGTGCACTCCCCCCGCCCAGCAGCCAGCCTTGGGGGGGGTTGAGGGGGATGGGGGCGCACTCGGATCCCGCTCGCTCTCTGCTCGCTCGCTCGGCGCGGCGCTGGGGGAGGCGGGAGCGTGAGTCACGGCGACTCCCGATTTAGGTGCCGGAAGGGGGGCTCTGCCGGCGGGGGCCGCCGGGAGGAGGCTCGCCTGTTTACTCTCCTGAAAAGGGCACGGGGGTGCTCTCCGCGGGTACCCGGGACCTTCCTCAGTTTACCTCCCGCAGAAGCGCTTTAGAAGAGGCAGTGATGTATAGAGCGGTGGGCGGGCAGCCGGGGTATCCGCCACAGGGTGTCCTCCTGGAGCCACAAGGGAACCAATGGGACACACCCCAGAAACACCCCAAAGAGGCCCCAGGCCGACCACACACACATGCACACACACTAACATACATAGACGCCCTCGGACACTACAGTCAGACAACAGAGGCAGAATCGCGTGCACAACTCCGCAAGCACGCACAGACCACAAACGCATCCAAGCGCTTGAGAACACATTCACAGTCCCCAGGCCACCTGAAAAAAGACCCCGTAGGGATGCACATCATCCAAATGGGTATCACATGTGCCCACACATCCTTCACCCACAGACACACACAGATATACACACAGCCAAATCCAGAGAAACGGGCAGACAACAGCAGCCAACCACGTGCGCACACACACTTCCAGCAGACACTGAAAACACAGACAACCCTCGGAAGGGGCCACGTGCGCGCACATCCCGCCCCGGGCCCGCACCATCACTATCCTCCGACGCACAGACAGGAGATCCCACACACTCTGCCGCCGCCCGCTGCAGGCACCGCGCCGGTGGCACCGGGACCACTCCCCAAAAGCTCCCCCTGGCCAGGGGTAGCGGCGAGGACAAACCAGCACCGGACTCCGCCCTCGCCGTGATGGACCGACTGACTGACACTCTGGCAACCAGTCCTGTGTCTTCTTCCAGATCGGATTAACCGTTTAACTCCTTCGTGCCCGTGCGCGCCGCGGCTAATCAGGGTGCTTTGGAGAGAGCCGAGTTCCAGCGCCCCCTCCCCGCCCGGAGCAGGGCTCTGCGTGGGCGGGGAGGGCCCCCCCCCTTAGGTGGCTGCCCCCCACTGGCCCGGACGAAGGAGGAGGGGGGCGGCGCTGACAGCCTCGGCGGGCGGAGGCCGGGGAGGGGCGGGACGGGGCGGGGGAGCAGGGGCTGGCGCCGAGCGGGGCGCGGAGCGCGGAGAGCGCCGCCCGGCACGGAGGAGAGCTCCAAGCGCTGAGAGGAAGCCGCAGAGCCCGGCCCGGGGGCGATTGGCCCGCAGCGCCCCCGGGTCTGTCCCCGGGGCGCCATGGCCCTACTGCGGCCGGGCGCACTTGCGGGGCCCTGGGCTTGTTTGCTTGCGCGCAGCTGAGCTGGGTGTAGGTTGGAAAGGCCAGGCCCCCCCGGGGCGCAAGTGAGGACCAGCGCCATGGAGCCCCCGACCGTCCCCTCAGAAAGAAGCCTGTCTCTGTCACTGCCCGGGCCCCGGGAGGGCCAGGCCACCCTGAAGCCTCCCCCCCAGCACCTGTGGCGGCAGCCTCGGACCCCCATCCGTATCCAGCAGCGTGGCTACTCCGACAGCGCGGAGCGCACCGAGCCGGAGCGGCCGCCTCACCGGCCCATAGAGCGCGCCGATGCCATGGACACCAGCGACCGGCCCGGCCTGCGCACGACCCGCATGTCCTGGCCCTCGTCCTTCCATGGCACTGGCACCGGCAGCGGTGGCGCGGGCGGAGGCAGCAGCAGGCGGTAAGACTCCCCGCGGCGGTTGCGCGCGGAGCGGATGGGCGCGCAGGGAGGAGGCAACTCGAGCCGCCGGCCGCAGGGGGCGCTAGGGTGCGGGTGGGGTCGGTGTGACTGGCGGGGGCGGAAGAGGGAGTTCAGCTGCGGGGGCATCCGGGACCTGGCCCCAGGTTGTGCGTGCTACGGGAGGCTTCCTGCTGAAGCCCATCTTGGGGTCCATTTAGGGGGCGCCATGCTGCGCGTAGTGTTAACGAAGTCTCGGTTGGGGAAGGGGGCTGCAGCTTCAGGGGTCCGTATTCTTGGTGACAATGCAGGACAGCGGCTAATCTGGGAACCACTTGGAGGGACCTTCCTGGGGGCACTATGCTGAGGGCTAGATTCGCAGTGTTGGGTACCCTTGGGGCACTTGGTAAGGGGGTGCCTGCTGGGACCAGGATCTTGAGTTTAGGCTGGGCTGCTCTCAGGGTCCTTCTAGGGGATGGAAGACTATTGCAGGGATGTTAGCGGACTCTTCCTGCAGCAGCTGGGGTCAGAAATCCAGAGGGTGCCTCTTGGGGGAGCACTGTTTTGGGAGGCTTCTGTTAGGTGGGAGTTCCCCTCTCAGGGCAGGAGTGTTAGGGTTTAGTAGCTGCTCAGAGGCAGGAAACAGTGGAGGGGGGGCACAGTCCCAGCACAGAGGGAAGGAGTCCAGGACTGCAGAGGTGACAGTACAGTGAGGGTGTGCATGTTGAGCCTGGTCTCTTCCGAGGGTCTCCTCCGACAGTCCTGCGTTTGCTCCAGCGGTCTGGGTATGACCAGCTGTGGCTGCCTTAGTTGTCTGTTCTGCATGAGTTCCTGGGGTCTCATGCTGGTGACACAGTGACTATTTGCCCTCCAGGGACAGTGTAATTGTGACAGTGTGACAGGGCAGTGTGACTGTGTGCTTCTAGGACAGTGTTTGTGACAGGGACTGTGTGTGCTCCAGGAATGCTGTGACTGTCACGGGGTGACTATGGGGCCTCATGGGATGCAGTGACTGGGACAGTGACTGTGTCTGCTCCTAGGACAGTGATTGTGCAGTGGTGTTGGTGCTCTAGGGCCAATGTGATTGTGTCAAAGTGCATTTCTGACATGCAGTGATTGTGGCACTAGGATGTCTGCACTCAGGGAACACTGTGATTGAGGCGGTGGAACAGTCTGTGCTCCCTGGACATTGTGATTGAAACACTGACTGCGTTCCTTTTCGCCAGGTGCTCATGTCTGAGAGTTGGTGCTCTGACATGTGGTCTGTGTGTTCCCTCTGCCTAGTGTATCCTAAGAACTGGTGTCCTCTAACCACCTGGTGTTCTTAGTTACTGCTCCCACTCTGATGGTGCTCCAGGGTCTGATGGTGTGTGTTCCTGTATTGTGCAACTGACAGCTTTGCCCGTGTGCTCTACCTGATGCCCATGGATGCCCCACTGCTGGGGATATAACCAAGACGATCAAATTTGGGCTTCTTATCCCTGGAGCTTCTGAGTGAGGCCCCTCTAAGATGTAGCCCTACTCTCCCCAAGTCTCTTTGGAGGTCTTCAGCAGTCATTGAAGCCCTCCAGGCCACCTTACCTCTGTTCTGGTCACCCCCAGCCCCAGGACCCTGCACCCTTGTCCCTACCAGGAAGCGAATGTCTTGGGCCCAGCACACATGGGCTGATATTTCCCAAAGGGAACTGGAGAGAGGCTGAAGGAAGAGAAAGCTGGAATCAACAGAAAATGCTAAAACCAGGGGCAGGGAACCAAAATGGCACAGGTCACTGTCCTAAGACGCCAAGGGGCCGGGTACGGTGGCTCATGCCTGTAATCTCAGCATTTTGGGAGGCTGAGGTGGGCGGATCACCTGAAGTCAGGAGTTCGAGACCAGCCTGATCAACATGGAGAAACCCTGTCTCTACTAAAAATACAAAATTAGCCAAGCGTGGTGCTGCATGCCTGTAATCCCAGCTACTCAGGAGGCTGAGGCAGGAGAA